TAACAAAACAACAACCAGAACAACAACCAAAACAACAACCAGAGAACAACAACCAGAACAACAACCAAAACACCAACCAGAACAACAACCAGAACAACAACCCCATCAACAACAACAACAACAACCAGAACAACAACCAGAACAACAACCAAAACAACAACCAGAACATCAACAACCCTTTCAACAACAACAACAACACCGACACCGACACCGACACCGACACCAACAACAACAACAACAACAACAACAACAACAACACCAACACCAACAACAACACCAACAACAACACCAACAACCCCAACGCCAACGCCAACACCAACGCCAACGCCAACGCCAACGCCAACGCCAACCCAACACCAACACCAACACCAACACCAACAACAACAACAACAACAACAACAACAACAACAACAGCAACAACAACAGCAACAACAACAGCAACAACAGCAACAACAACAGCAACAACAGCAACAACAACAGCAGCAGCAACACCAACACCAACAACACCAACAACACCAACAACACCACCACCACCACCAACAACAACAACAGCAGCAGCAGCAACAACAACAACAACAACAACAACAACAGATCCATGAGAGACCTACCGAGCGACAGTGGACGCAAAACCAAAGCTCCCAGAAGACCCTTTTTCGAATGGAATTGAAAGACCGACCGAGCGACAGTGGGGCCAAAAGTGCACTCAAAAGAGTGATAGACGCATGCGGTACATTCAGAAGAACGGAAACGTAAAACGAAAGCGAACTGATGCAGGAGAGATCGACCGAGCGACAGTGGGGCCGAAAGTGCACTCAAAAGAGTGATAGACGCATGCGGTACATGCAGAAGAACGGAAACGTAAAACGAAAGCTCAACTGATCCATGAGAGACCTACGGGGGAAACTCAGAAGACACATGCTCAAACACAACTGAATACCGAGCGACACTGGACCAGGGGGGAATCGAACCCCCGACCGACCCTGACCGACCGTACTGCGTTTGCTTAGTGGGACACTGACTGGGGAGAAGAGAATTTTTCCCAAAAAAGTATCACTTTTTTGGGAAAATCAAAAATGATTTTCCCAAAATAGTAGTAAAATTTCGACCTCCGCGCAGGGGGCTCAGGAAGCACAGACTTAGTTTGTATTCGCGCAGACTAAGTTTGTATTCGCCAATTTTCCCAAAAAAGTAGCAGATTTTTGGGAAAATTGGCCTCCAGAAACTGCGCGCACGCGCTCTGGGTCAGGCTAGATCGTAATATTAGTAGTAATATATATTTTTATAATAATTATAATTTTCTCCCCTTAAATTCCTATCAAATTTTATATAAATTATATAATAAATCATAATCAATTAAATTATTTTTAAAAATTTAATTGTTTTTCGATTTAAAATCCAATTCTATATATAAATTGTATAAAATAAAAATAATTAATCCACGGCTAAGAATCATAAAAAATATGTATTTACATAAATATAAATTTACATATTTATTAAACATCTATTTATTTATTAATTTAAAAAAATATTTGAATAAAATAATTTTAATAGTTAAAATATTAATAATTAATAATTAAAAAAATAAGAAAATTAAAAAAAAATAAGAATAATAAGATAAATAAGAAAATTAAGGAAAATAAGGAAAATATATAAGGAGAATAAGAATAAGGAAAATAAGAAAAATAAGGAGGATCAGGAGGATGAGAAAAATAAGGATAAGGATGAAAATAAAAAAATGAAAATAAGGATAAAAATAAGGATAATAATTTTTTATTAACCGGAAATCAATTGGAAATTTCCTTTCGGGCGGTCCAGAGGAAGATCGAATCTGGGACTGCTAGGGAGGGAGAATCTAAATAAAAAGTTTCAGGATTTCCAATTGTCCTGGTGCCTTCAGCTAGTACGAGCTAGCTAGCTTTCGCGATATCAAAATATTTCAATATTCCCACGATATAATTCTTATAACAACCTCCAAAATACCTATAATTCTTATAACAACCTCCAAAATACCTAAGGGCTTCTCTTTATCTGTTTACTATAATCTAAGGAAGTTTAAAGTCAAAACTTCCGACAATATGGACAGATGAAAAGCAGAGATAGGAAGAGTCAGAGAAAAGAAGAGAAGAAGAAAGAAAAAGTCTCAGAAGAAAGAAGATCCAGGTGCGCCAGAAGGTAGGAAACTCGCGAAACACTGTGTTTTTCGAAAGGTTTGTGGCTCCGGAGGGTCGAAAAGTAGGCTCGCTAAAGCGGCGGGTGCGGAGCCAGCTGGGCAGATGAGAGATGAAAAATTGCACGCCGTTATGGCGCGAAGCACATTTCGAAGTCAAAATATTCAAAACACACCAGCTTCGGACCGCCACGAAAAAGTGATACCAGGTCATACGAAGTGCTGCACCTGTCACGCAAAATCATCTCAGCAAACCTGAAGATCTGATGCTCCAAAATGCAACCCCTCTCAGGAAATCAGCGCCCGGACCTCCTAACATCTCTGATGAACATGTCTCTTGTACTGCGCCACGGAAAATGCATCTTTGCAGATCCTCTTCAAATGTCCCACGCCTGCCATCGTTTTTGGATGCTACAAAACCCTCACGTCTTGCTCACTTTTGACAAGGTGCACAACCCCTTGCACCTGCCACGCGAAACGACATCTGAACGTCCAAAAGTGGTCCGAACCCCTGGTGTTTTTAACGTTTTGACTTCGAAATGTGCTTCGCGCCACAACGGCATGCACTTTTTCAACATCTCAACTTCCAAAAGTAAAAATCGCAAAACACATTGGTACGAGGCCGTCAGCTCTGCACTCAACTTTCCATTTTTGAAGGAAGTCTCGCAGAATTGCTTCGTTTTTGATGTTGTCAACTCCAAAAAATGAGGAAGTCTCACAGAACCGCTGCGTTTTTGATGTTGCTAAGTTCAAAAACTGAGGAAGTCTCGCAGAATAGCTTCGATTTCAAGCTTGCAGATAGACAGATAGATAGAGAGACAACTACAACTGCAACTACAAGATACTACAAGTACCACTACACTACACTACACTACTACTACAACCACAAGTACAAATATATTGCGCTACATTACACAACACTAATTACACTAAGCTACACTAATTACATCTAATTACGCTGCACTACACAAATTACACTACAACTACAACAGCAGAAACTATTACAAAAGCAACTACTACAACAGCTACTACTGCTACTACTACTACTACTACCACCACCACTACCACCACCACAGCTACAACTACAATTACAGCTACACTACGTTATTACACTACAAAACACTAATTAAATTAAACTGCAGCACGTTACAGCTACAAATACAACTACAACTACAACTACATTACATTACACAACACTACACTACACTAATTACATTACATTACACTACAACTGCAACTACCACTACATTGCACTACACGCCACTACACTACAACTACAACTACACTACTTTAGACTACAATACACTAGACTACACTACACTATACCAATCTACAGTACACAACACTACGGTACACTGCAATACACTACACTAATTACACCAAACCACAACTACAACTGCAACTGCAACTACACTATATACACTAATTACACTACTTTACAACTACAACTTAAAACTACAACTCCACTACACTACAACTACAACTACACCTACAACTACAACTACAACTGCACTACACCACACTACATCCAGCAGTTGTGGTGAGGCGACCACTGCAACCATTGCAGCCATTCCAGAAAACACAACTCCAACCACCTTTCGGTCCATCAGTGGATTCGCTCTGCCATCCCTGATTCACAACGACCAACCTCTTCTATAGGTTTCCTATTTGAAACTTCCGCCACCGCCTTGTGCGGTACTACTGATATAGTAACATGTTGTTGTTGTTGTAGATAAATAAGTATATGTTATTTTTCTTGAATGTGTACGTTGATATCTATTGTCGCTATCCTCAACATAAGAATAAGGAATCTGAATTTAATTCTGTCTCTGTTCGAGGGTGGTCTGTGTCTAGATGTCCCTCTTTCAAGTCTGTCTTCAATTGCCCTTGCCGCCACCCTGCAAAAGAATGGGCGAAACTTGACGCTCTAGTCAGTTGATGGCAAATCAGCATGGCTGAATTCATGTTCCATGCTTATGACCAGCATCAATGAACAATGAACAACATGCATGACAAGTGCGTCCGACCAAGCAAGAACCCGAAATGCAGAAAAGATCAGAAAAGGCATTCCCCAGTGGCACCTTTCCCTGAGGAGGCTTGTAGATGCGACCTATCCAGGTGGCTTCAACAAGTGGTACATATCTACACCAAATGTCGCATCGATCTCCTGCAATCTATTCATGAAATCCAATTTGTGAACTCACTGCGTGAGCCTGTGATTCAAGTACCTGGGGCCTGAAGGCCTATGCAGGCATCCAAACCGAGAAATGTGGCCTACAATGGCCTACAGTTCTGTCGCACCTGGTCCCTGCAAGTGAATGAAAGAAAACAAAACAACCAATTTCTTGATCTGCGTGTGCGACGGCATGAAACAAACACCCACAGCACCTTCTGGGCTTGCTCGCAGCACCTTGTTGCGCACTCGCACCACGCGTCCGTGAATCGCACAGGAGACACCTAAGTTACAGGTTCAAATGGCTTTAAAGTGAGTGGCAAGAAAGGGATCAACATGGCACAACTTAGAAGGGCAAAAAGTCTTCAACGCCAGCAGAACAAACATGCAAAGGATTAGACCTTTGGATTGATGTAGACTGATCAACTATTTCTTGTTTTGTGGGATGGAAAACCGGCATCAGTCTCCGAGCGGACAAAGAGGAACTTGATAAAGACCGTCTTGACTGACGCTTTTGATGTTGGGATTCGTGGCTTTGAGCTTTGCCAGCCCGGATATGTTGACCCTGCCACGCTGAGGCACAGTAAAGCATCTTCATGTAGAGCTTTGGGAGCATGAAGGTCCTCAGGTTACAAAACCAATGTGAGCACAAACTCTCGTCCCAACCGAACGCGTATTTACCATCGCACAAACCTCCATAATTCACGGCAATCCATGTCCCAAGCCGTCCTCTTTTCGATGGTCTCCATCAACATTAAGCGACATCAAACAGTGGGATAACTACCTCTCAACACCAAGAAAAAGGCTAAAGGCGCCCTGGTCACAATTGATTGAAGGGGAACTTACAAGAAACCCAATTGTTTCTATATTGCCTTCAAATCAAGCCAATAATGAACATATCCATGTTCATACGGGATGTGTTGATGATATATCCCACTACAACCTCGAATATGGTTGGTTCTCTACCACCTCTCCGAATAGTAGAAATTTCAGATCCTGCCAAGGCTCTGATAGACCGAGGCTTCGCGCAAGTCACGCTGGGAGGAGGCATCCACCATGTTGCGAACCTGGAAGCGCTTGATGGCCTTGTCCTGCGTCAAGTAATGAAGATTTTAATGGGAAACTTATGGGAAAATCCCCCATGGATGGAAGCTTTAATGAGAGAATCCTCGATGAATGGGGGATGTTCCATTGCATGTCTAAGATCTGAATGAATTTGTGGGAATGGTCCAATTCAAATTCTATCTATGGGTATGGTCGAATTTCAACATCTCGTATATTCCAGGGGGATGCTTTCGCAACAAAGGTCCCGAGGTTTTAATGTTTCACTATTTTAGTGGTATAAACACAAGCGTCAACCATACCTTATTTTCTTCACCCTTCTGAGTCCTTTCGGAGCTCTTACATTATTTCTTTGAAGACTCGTGATTAAAGTGGATTAAACAGTGGGGTTTCTACCTCCTGCATGGTTACCCAGTGGCTCCTTCGGGACACAGCGGCAGCAGTTGGAGCATCGCACGATGGCCGTGTGGCCACGGCCGTGCTTGGATCGCCCGTTGTTGCGGCGTTTGGACGGCATCGTTTTTTGTACAGGGCAGGGACACCAAAACTTGCAGCGGAAACGGTAACGGAGAAAACATGCGGAGAACATGCTGAGCTATCCAAGTGACACAAGTCCTTTCCACATCTTGGACTAATGCAAGAGTGGGGATGGTCTGTTGATTCCGCTATTGGCTGACTCACCAGAGCTAGGCTGGTTGCGTGGGGTGAGGGACCGCCCGTTTTCAATGCCGAACGGCCATTACTTGGGGTGACTAATACAGACCCTTACAGTGCCAATCAATTCTTGTCGCGGGTGGATTAATTCCATCGTTTGCAAAGGATCTAACCAGCCCTCAGCTTCTATTTCGACAAACTAAACCTATCTCCTATCTCACAAGCTGGGCATGAACACAATATTGCTCTTACAGTGTGCATTTGAGGATGAAGAACAAAGAACGGCTGGAATGCTTTGTGGAATTGCCAGCAAGAGTTTGAGGGATGCGAATACCCACCCAGCTGGTATCTGAAATCTAGTAAACTGTAGAATTGTTTGGCCACACCTGTGCCACTTCTTTTTGCTCCTCCCAGACGGCCCTGGTCTTTGGGGCTAGGAACTTTGGCGATCTTTGGCGCACAATGCCGAGGTACGCGATTCCAGAACGAGTTCAAACACAAGTTGCGGCCATGTTAGCCTTGACTGCCTTGACTCTTCACTCCGGACAGCCAAATCTCCAACGAGACTGAGCATTCGGTCAGCCAAGTATTTACCAATGCCTGGAATGGCCTGGCGATCTCCAGAGTGCAATTTTTTGGGGCCAAACAAAACCGATGCTTCAAGAACTTCAAAAAGTGGCTGAAGTTTGGATTGCTTGTTACTTAGTGTTAAAAATGCAAAAAGGTTCATCAAACATTGCAATGTGTTGCCGGTTCCAAGGTTCCAGTCGCCCCACCTCCGCAGCGTCCGGTGACAACCCATGCAGCCCGTCCTTTTTAGCGGAACGTCAACCTGCGGGACGGGACGGGCGGAATGTCTGCAGAGTTATTGGCATCCAACAAAAAACGGATGCACAACAGCGTGCCGAATTGCCGCTTTCACCACAAAAAATGCACTGAAACTAAGTTCATGAGATCAGTTATACATATATATATATATATCAGAAGGCATCAAACCACTGGTCCGGTTTTTGAAGAAACCTAAAAATCCGATTTTCTAGTGTCCATCTGCAAGGCCTGGGAAAACCCTCCGATTTGCACGGGGCTACCCGCCCCACGAAGCAGAAGCTCGCTATACATTTGCTGACAGGTGCAAAAAGGGGACCCATCCTTCAAACCACCTATCCTTCAAGAATTCCAGGGATCGCAGTGCATCATACTCATATGTATTCATATGTTTCCCTGGTTTTCTTGGGTTTTTCTACTACATCGATTTGCAATCGTCAATACTTGTGCAAACATTTTCAAGGCGCATCTCGCTCCCTTTCAGCTCAATGCGCGAATTTGTTCCCTTGGCGCTCTTTCCCAAAAATAATTTCAACATGTCGGTGGGTCGAAATTGGGGGACCAACGGACACACAAAATTATTGATATTTTTGTGTTGAACCATAATCACCCCAACCTCCCCCAAATGCCTCTTCGCTCCGGCGATGACACCTGAAAGGCTTCAAAGTTATCACAAGCCATTGAGGCGTGACATAAGGCACCACAGCAGTGGATGCACTTTTGTCGAATGAAGCCCAGGGTTTGGTAAGTTGCAGGACAGTGATGAACTTCAGGTTTGTGTCACTGGGCAAGAACCAGGAGACTAATTGATCGCAGGTTCATATTTCAACTGTGGCCAAGGACTCTCACTTGCTCTCATCCGCAAATTAAAAAACTACAAAAACTTTTGAAAATCAAAGCAGCAAGGCCAGCAACGAGAACACGAATACCAAAATGATCCAAAATGCATCAAATGCTTTGTTTCTTTCCGACGTTGCTCTGGCGTTCACTCAGATCTTACCGCCTCAAGCTGCACAAGGACATGCTGCAACTCTTCGTGCAATTCTCTGGCAGAGTCCTGGCGTTGACAACTCAGGGACTCGGCAAAACTGTGGGGGTTAGGGGTGGTGCTCCGTACTTTTCTGGTTTGGGGTGGTCCGGGGCAGACGCGAAAAAGCGAAAAGTCGAAAAGTAGCTGTTGATTCTTAGGGGCGGAGCCCGAAAACCCGAAAAGTAGAAAAGCCGAAAAGTCGAAAAGTAGCTACTTTTCTCGAAAAGTCGAAAAGTAACTACTTTTCTCGAAAAGTAGCTACTTTTCTCGACAAGTAGCCACTTGTCTCGAAAAGTCAAAAACATGAAAATGAGATCCATGGGTATTCTTTGGATTAACTGCAGCTGTTGCACTGTGATTTTGAAGGTTGTTCCCTCCGACGGGGTGTTCACGCGCAGACACACTGCTGAATGTGCATTTTGTACTGTTTTTTACAGTGTTTTCTGCTTCTCTACAATGCTTCCTTGGGGGGGGCGGGGGGGGGCAGGAACAACTGATGTAACTGATGGTACAGGGGGGGGATGCTAACGTTCCATGTAACTTGCTCATGTTGTTGATGCTTCGCCACGCTGGGGTGGGGGGGATGTTAACGTTCCATGTAACTTGCTCATGTTGTTGATGCTTCGCCACGCTGGGGTGGGGGGATGGTAACGTTCCATGTAACTTGCTCATGCTGTTGATGCTTCGTGGGGGGGATGTTAACGTTCCATGTAACTTGCTCATGTTGTTGATGTTTCGCCACGCTGGGGTGGGGGGGATGTTAACGTTCCATGTAACTAGCCAAACTTCTGACTCAGCAAAGATGACAAACCAAGTCGGCCGCGCGTGAACAGGCCGTCCGACCGAGGTTGTTGTATCATGTTGTATCTTGTTTTTTTGTTGGGGCGCAGTTGTGCCACATGTTTAGCGTCTGTTTTATTTGTGGGAGGGTTTGTTTATGGTATCCAAGCGCATTGGAGAGTGAATGAGTCTGTCAACAGTTACCCCCACAATTTGGTACTGTCCTTGGTTCAAGTGGCGTTTAATTTTTCAAACCTAATACTTCTTTCTATGTTGTGATGCTAGCGTACTCGAATCCATGCAATCAGGTTTGAAATTATGAGAGGACATGATTTGCATGCATGATTGGATGTATCTTTTTAGCTTGCGGCTTTCAAACAATTGGAAAGGAATATGGCTAGGAACGACATGGTCCACGTTGCAGTCCCCAAGGGGAGGAAGAAGGTTGGCATCGCAGTCGGGCACTAAAACAGTCAAATTATAACTGTGAATGGAATTGCGAATTTCAAGGACGAGATGGGACAAAAGTGGACTAAATCAAAGAAGAAAATGTAGAAGTAAACACACAGAGGTTCAACCAGAACAGTCTGTCTGTCTTTGGGTGTCGAGAGAGAGAGAGATATATAATATATATATATATGGTTCCGTTTTGGAGGGCAAGATTTTTTTGGAGCACGCAGCATATTCACAAATGGGACCTTCCTTTTTCGGTTAGTCTTCTTGGCAAGCATTTTGCAAGCGCAAGGCAGAGTACAGGGCGTCTGCAAACAACAAAAACCGTTCAGAACGTTTGAACTGTTTTCGCCTAATTCTGAGAAAATTGTAAATCTTAAATTTGCTGGGAACAAGTTTCATCAACTCAGGGATTTTATTGTGAATGTAATGTGTCACATTGGGTCTAGAATTGCATGTAAACACAAAAACTTCAGTACTTGCGTACTGTACAGTGGGGAAACTAAAAATAGGAAAACAATTTGCTGACATGTTTTTGAGCTTTTTTGTAGGTAGTAGCTTTCCTACATTGTGTCAAAGTAGGTGGGCGTACGGCATATGCAGTGTGCAGTTTTGTCTAAAATTGTTTAATCTATATCGCTCGGATGTTGATGCGCCGTTTTCTTGCGCCACATGTGTGGCGACAATCCTAGATGGGGAAAGTCAATGTCATAGAGCGTTCCATATAGATGAATTGTATCGATGGTTTTTGGCCTGTCTTTACAACGCTGCACATGTTTCTTTTGTTTGGCAATCTTCTGGATGTGAAAGATAGAACTTCGTTTTTTCGTTTTTAAGCTGGGTGGAAGAATTGAACATGTTCGAGTGACAATAGTTTTGGGGTAGACACGAAAAGGTGATATGTTGTCAATGTGTGGTTCCAGCAAAATCCGCCCACACCGCTTTGGCGGTGAAGGCGTGCTTATTGGGGGGCAACAGCAACACTAAATGCTCAATGACATTTGTTAATATAGCAGTCGCTATATCAGCTTTAGCTGGGGGGGGGGGCCAAAAACGGTTTCGCACCGAGACCAGAATAGGGTGGTGTTTTCGATATTTTTCGAGGATTTTTGGGTGTCTGAGCGCAAGAGGGTATTGAAATGGAATTTTGGGTCATTTTGGTAGCTTTCCGGCAAGGGAAAAACGGCCAAAAATGAAAAAAACATTGTACATAGCAAGATTTTGCAGGGTTTTTGGATGCCAGAGCATTGAAAACACTGCAAAAACAAGTGTTTTGGACTGACGTTAGAGCCAAAAAACGTGTAAATGACCGTATGCTTGACTGGAAACATTACAAAAACACTGTCAAAAGCAATGTTTTGGAAGGATTTACTGCCTTTATGGCAAAAAACGTGTAAATTACCGTTTGTTTGACTGGAAACATTGGAAAAACACTGTCAAAAACCATGTTTTGGAAGGATTTCTTATTGAAACTTCTTAGCCTGAAGAGCCCCCACGGGGGGAAACCACCCTTAGCCCCTCTCACGGACCGAAATAAACCTGCGGTGTGGGCGGCCACCCCACGCGAAGCGGGGTGAATATCTGTGGGCTTAAGCGAGCAGATTGTGAGAATACGCAAAACGAAATTATGTTGGTTCACAGCGTGTGTTCCAGTCTTGGAAGAAAACAATTTGAACATAGGGAGGGCAGTCTGGATGGTAATCATTGGGTTTATTCTAAGCAGGGACCCGTGAGCAAAATATAGTTAGATCATTCCGGGTATTCCAGAAAAACTAAGGGGTACAAAAGGCACTGGCAAGTAGTACGGCGCCGCAGGGCGCCAAGTGCAAACACTTCCCACCATATAGATGTGGTTTCCCAAAAAATGTGGACAATAGATTGAATACATAGACTTCTTGGATTACTGTAGTCTGTGGGTGGTTTCTTCGACGTGGGACTTCCAAGATCAAAGGATGTTGTGCTTTCCATTGTTCCGGTTTATCTCTGTAGAGCATCGGCTAAGCAAGTATGAAAATCACTTTGTGGCGTTCTTCGGTCGCACTGCTTCAAAAACAATACGGAACAAGTAGGTCTTTCCAACTTGTTTCTCCAATGCGAAAACTGGCGAGCAGCTGCACTTGACTTTTGGTTCCTTGAACTGA